CCTTCAGCCAGTTCGTAGTCCACCTCGCTACTCGTTCGTCCAGTCCACACTTCCTCTGTTTAGTTGTGAGGATGCTGTGGGAGACTGTGTCAAAGGCTTTACTGAAGTCAAGTACTCATTAGGTGAGAATAAGTAAGTTTTTGCATTGGCCATCTCAGAAAAGGGTCACACCTCTGGGGTCCACACAGCACATTACCACTACTTTGTTTTGCTTTACTTTGCACAGGTCTTCGTAACATGAAAACAAATGAGACATCAACAAGAACTCCTTCTCCATAGAGACTTTACAAGCTCATTTCTTTCTTAATACTGTAACTGCTCATAAATCTTCCTCATCCCCTTTTCCTTCCCAAGCCAACACAGGAAGGATTTAATCTTTAAGAAACCATTTTAATAATGCCAGACAAAAGTCAAAGGAAAAAAACACAGATTACGAAAATACTTGATTCCATCATCTTAATTTCTTGTTGTTTAAATCTCAAGAAGCTTGCATGATTGACATCATACCCATAAGAACCAAAAAGAAGATTCAGTCTGTTGTAGAAAAATCAGTCTTACTGACAGAGATTGCGCATCTTTGCAAATATCACACACTTACAAAGATCATCAGTTTACTGAAACAAAACAGAATATGTGAATTAATGACTAAGAGAGTTAAAATTCTTTAACGTAAAGCCTTTCACTTCCAAGGTGCTGGCCTATGTAAAACAGGTATCCTAGGCCCCCTAGAAAAGAAAAAAAAAAGGAAAGGAAAAAAAGAAGGATCCATTAAAAGGAAAAATGGATCATTTTAATGCTACATTCTTGCAGGCAGGTTAATCACAGGCTATGGTCCAACCAAAACAGACTACCTTTTATGTAAGTCCTTGCACCTATCAATTTAATTAAAGTCTTCATAGATAGCTGAAGGGAGGCAGTAAATTGGCTTTCCAAGAGTTGACAGCTGCAGCCTACAAGGTCCCTCCACGCTACTGCTGTATGGACCAGTCTGCGTTTCAGTGCTCTCTTCCACAGTTGTTCTCACTGCTCTCGGGAGAAACCAAGTGAAATTTTTCAAAGGTCACTTGTATAGAGGGGAAAAAACTGAGGCCTTCTCAATGTTGGCAGTGAGTCCCCTCAGACTATATATACTAACCAGATGACAAAGATCAGCTGAAAGTGTCTAGTCTATTCTCTACAGGGTCTATGCGCTGACCTACCAGTCCACATAAATAAACAGCAAGCTAGTGGCACTCTGCACTCCTTTTGTAAGCTCGTCTCCAGTTGTAAAACATGGTAAAAAAGAAAAGTGCAGAAGGGTTCCTGTAATGTAAGCAGCCTACAAGGACTATATTTTTACTAGACTCATGCAAATGTTATCTCGCAGTTGAGTTCAATTTCACAGTCCAAGGAAAATTCTAAAGCTACAGCTTTTATTTTTTAAGAGAATTTCAGTATTTAACTCTGGCAGATTAAAAAAAAAGTCTTTGAAGAATTTAAAAAGTTGCCTCAGCTAAACAGCTTACTGATTAACACTGAGTCTTTAAAAAAGTGAAGCATGGTTTGAGGGAAAGGGAAGAAAAGTGAGAAAGATAAAGATATACCCAAATCATTATAGATAGTTCAGCGATATGTCTCTAAAGAAGAGTCGAGGGTCACCATCTTCATACTGTACAGTTGCATTTATGTTAGGTTTGTCTACAAATTCTATCTCGCATGCCTGGGTGCTGCAAGGAGAATGCTCCAGCTCCAGCACTGTTATGTTGTTTGGCACCGATGAAACGAGTATATTCCTTGGAACGAAAAGGGTCAACTGAGGACCGCGGGCCGGCCAGTAGCGACCAAGGTTAAAGCCATTGATCCAAATTTGCCCCTGTTAAGGGAAAGAAGAAACAACAGCATTTTAATACTTTGACAGAGATCAAAAGACAAAATAGCTTTAAGCATAAATAACACCCTTCACATAGTAACTGAATTTCCTCCATCCTTCAGGGTTTGATAAACAAAAGGGCAGAAAATCTGCTCAAGAGAGTGCTGATGACAGCCTAAAAAGTCCAAGTTCCCTGATGAGTTAAAGCCATCATTAATATTTAAAAATAAACTGGTCAAATACTGCAGTAATTTCAAATATGACAATACTTAGGAAAACAGAATTACAGGTTCCTGGCACTGAATTTTGCATCAAGTTTACGGACCAAAGCAAACCTGAAAATTGCATTTGCTTAAAACTGATTGTTAAAAGGAGAAAGAACAAACAAAAGAAGAACCACAGATCCTAATTCTGTTGTGGCTGCCTGCAAAGCATATGACTACATTATCTTGGTAGTCCCTTCCTGTTGCATGATTTCATGAAAAAGATACAGCTTGTCTAAACACATGAAATGTCTATTATATTTGTAATAACTTAGTCAACTAAAGATAGTACTGTATTTTGTTGTAGTTACTTAAAACCATTAAAATCTCTGGGGTTTCTGCTAGCATTGATTTAAGTTCAATGAAATTGTGATTAACTTGGCATACAAACTCTTTAGATTACTTTTTATAGTGGAAGTGGTCAGAACTGCTAGTTGAAAATACTGTTCTACCATTTTAAGTTCAAAAGGTGAAACAAAATTGGAAACAAGAGTAAAAAAAAAAGAAAAGGCAAAACAGTCATTTACACACCACAAAATAGACACATAGAAGTGACACAAGTGCAGACTTTTTCCAAAATTCTATAAATTGGCAAGTTGCAGAATGTTCAGTAAAACTGTAAATGGACTCCTACTGAGTTGAACTGAATCTTGGTTCATTAAACAAGACAAAGGAGGAAATACAACCGATTTGGACAAATATTCACTTTTACTCCTCCTAAGTGTCTTTTCACCATATGTCAAATGAGTTCAGTGCACAAGAAAAGTGATGGGAACAGATAACTGCATGTCTTTTCCCTCTTGCTTTCGCCTTTGGGAATCAGAACATAGAAGAAAAACAAACTCATGGCACTGACATACACTGATAAAAACAATGAAATAGTCTGAATCAGTGGAAAGTAAGGACTTCTGCACTCTTGGTGGTTTCTAAAATTGTCTGGGATAGCTGAAATCAGAGTAATTCTTTTAAATGATTTACAGAAGCACAATTTTAATACAGTGAGTATCACTGTTCAAGCTGGTTTGGAAGTATTTTTCTTGTGTTTCATTTTTCAAGTATTTATGAAAACAAATTTTATGAAACTTGAAAGAGAAATTTTATATGAGCTGATATATTTGCTAATGCAGGTGAGTTATTTCAGCCCTGTATCCATTTCCGTGGTATAAGATCCTATCCTGCACAGTTCTGTCAAGGTGTTAATAAACTTTAACCTCAAACTTCTTTTTTTTTTTAAATCAAGTTTATCTTCCTTTGTGGCTTGCTTTTGCTGTATTAAAAGGCAAGAACTATTTACTCAAGGTCACTACTCTGCTTCTATAGTAGTTTTAGAAGAAAACACAGCATTAATACAACCTCCCCATACACAAGATGAATTAGTGAGCACACCCACCAGACAATATCCTACCTACTACAGAGAGTGACTGTAACCCTGAGGGAAGTAGGAGTTTACTGTAGGAACCAAATTAGAGTTCTAACACAGGATGTATGATGAAACAGGTCTCTGTTTCTGATCATAATCAGTCTTGTAACTCATTTTTCCAGTAAAGCTATAATTTCTCAATTCCAAACTGTCCTTATATTTCTCAGTTCCAAACTGTCCTTATCAACACTGCAGTTTCTCAAGATCGCACACTCAAGAATTTGTATACCCTAAACCAGCAAATCACGGCACTATACACACTACCAGTAAATATGCCCTAGACAAAATAAAGGAGGGGGGATCTCTATCTCCAGTAACATTTCCTTTAGCAGGGTCAGCAACTACAACCTGTGAATCCACGAAATCAAGAACGGTCCTGACTCCAACTCCTTGGAAAAAAAAAACCAAAACCCCTCCAGTAAATCTGACCATATATTCAGGGGCATGTACGCTTCCTCAAGCGAGGGTAGAGGAAGTTTTATTAATAGTGAAGGGTATGAAACCACTGAAGGCAAGCAAGCTACAAAATAGGCAATGACTGTTAATGCTGCGCCCTTCTTCCAGGCCATCCAGGATGCCATATTCCTTGTCTTAATATGCAAAGGCACGACCGTCATTAGAACTATGAGTTTTCTTGGTAAGTGTTGTTTCCATGGTTTTCCAGCTACTCAAACAGGCGAGTTTTAACCCCTATTAAAAGTCCCTCTTCACATCTTGGCATCAGCAATTTATACAGTGCCACAAGAAGAACTGAGGCCCAGATCCAGTGGGACCTGAATGGAATTTAAACCCTTATGGCTCTCTGCCTTAAAGGCATTTACTCATTGGTAAAGTTATCTGGAAGTCTCAGTTTCCACATCCCGTTATCACTTCAATCTTATTACTTCTGGGTATCTTATTTAAAGCTTTGGTCCAATCCATATAAAGCTTGAGGATCAATTAAACGGCCCTACTTACAGTTTGTCTGAGATCTTTTTATCTGGACTCCTTTAGAGGGTATATAATGTATGAAAAACAGAGTCTTCCATAGTCAAAAGATCAGAGGAAAAATTCCCACCAATACATGAGAATTCTTGGACTCATCTGCCATTTCAAAATGAGTTTGCCAACAGGCAGGTAGGGTAATTTCATTTCCTGAAGAAGATTAATGATTCATGGGGTCACAGAATATATTGCAAAAGTCTCAGATTACAGTTCCTGTGCAAAGAGCTATTTTGGGATTTTATTCAGTGATTGTGTAAGATATGCACAGTTATAGGAAGAGGGACCAAGTAAGACTTCCTCATCCAAGCCCAGTCCCAGCAACACTAAATGCCTGCAATGAATCAGTCTTCTGCATACTGGGAAGTGCTTTAACCACTACAATACTGTAGACACATCACCAGCAACTCCTTCTCCTGCTCTATTTCAATAGCAGTAGATTACTAATTTCAGAAAGGAATAATTTTGCTACCTAACACTATCACAGGCACTTCCCTGAAGCCTGGACTTAAATGCTTAGGCCTCCAAGAGGAGTGGCACTTCAGCGCACACATTCTGCTCTCTGTACCTCCCACCAGCTAGTTGAGCTGGTCCTTACCCATCTTGCATGCTGGCTGCTTCACACATGGCACTGTGAAAACACACTCTTTGCTGCTTTAGCTGTGCTCCAGCCCCATGAGAAGTTCCCATTAACAGAGATCTGCCTACAAGCTTCTCACAGCAGTGCTCTCTGAACCATTCAGTCCAGTTACAGGTAACCTCCAGAAAACAAGCAGTTCTATCTTTCATACACTGGACCCAAATGCAGTCTTTCTGAATAGTCTGAGAGTTCATCTTTCTCATGTTGAAAAACTAGGGTTGGTTTTTTTGGGGGTTTTTTTGTGATGGTCTACTTTCTAGACTAATACCATGTATCTTTTGAATATGTTTCCTTTCTCTTAATGGTTTATCTTCAGATTTAATTAAAGCAAAAAATCATTTTACTAGTTGTTTACATGTATTTGAGACACCCCATCACTACAATCAACTTCTGCCCATCCAGGAGAGGTGGACTTTGACCACCTATAGAAATTTCAGTAGCCTTCTGAGTAGACTTCGAGTTTTAACAGCAAAAAGTCATACCTTTGTCCAACCAGGAAAGTTGACATAGGTGTCTTGAGGCAAGTCTGGAATCCCTCCAGGAACTGAAAGTCTACCAGTGTAAAATGCAGGTGATTCATAACTCAGTGGATTGCCAACAGGTCTCCTTGGTCGGTCAAGGTGGCCATTAATGTCATGCTTCACTGCTCCATCTATGTCTAGAGGGTAGATTTCCCATTCAACAAGTATATCTCGACCAAGAGTTAAATTTGAAACTAGACCCTAGGAGGAAGAAAAAAAAAAACACAACACCAAAACATAAGATAATTAGCTTCATGTTATTCAGGTTATTTGGCTGAAACTACATATCAGTCAGAAATGAAAACTGAATCAAATACTTGTAACAGCTGCTCATCTGTGTATGACAAAAAAAGAAAAAGCATCTGGTCTTCACCAAGTTATAACCTTTGCTTAAGAATAAAGGGTTTCATTTATTCTCTGTGAAAGATCTGTTCCTCTTCAAAGTTTTGAGCTTTCATTGACGCCCAAGTTTTTTTTCCAATGTTTTTTCCCGTTACTGTGAAAATATCTGTTTTGCTTTAACATGAATATGAATCCAAAACCCGAGGCTTAAAAAAAAGCAGAAAAAGCATGAAATATCGTAAGTTTGAGATACCATCAAGAGATCTGGTATCACTGAGTCACTAACCCAAGACATTAACCTGCACAATAGCAGAGAAAGCAGTATCTACTTCCTACTAATCTTCTACAGCTAATGTACAGTATCACAAAATCAAGGCACATGCTTTGTGACCCCAATTCAGTTAAATACTTTAAGCTTACAGTCAGTAAAGCCCACGGAGTCCTGTTTCATTTCGATGGAACCATGTGTGCAGCACATCACAGTACTTGCACAATGAATGCAAAAACAAGGTAAGGTCAAGACTAAAGAAGACTGAAGGGAAAATGAAGTTACCCCTGAACACATCCTAATTGTGGTATAATAGCAGATTCTAGAGTTGTGTTTCAATGCAATGCAAGGGGTTGTAAAATCAGCCAATGCTGCTATATCCTTATAATTGCTTGACTAGACCTTGCATAGAAGCTGTTTTTCAGGGCAACTGAAGTTCAGTTGCAAACACCACATGTTGAACAGGAACAAGCAAAACCACATTTTCTATGGTCTTGGAGGGCTGATGCTATGTTGTGTGTCTGTTCTGATGTCTAATGAGCGTTGCACTGACTCCACAAGCCTCATGATTGGTACGAGCACTAATTGGTTTTCTCTTCCTTTACCTAGATGCCCACTCTAAAGAAAAGGAACTTATTTTTCTTGTATCAAAATAAAATACCTGCACAGAGTTAAGTGGCAAAACTTTTCTATGCAAACTAGACTGTACTCTCTCTTACAATGAATTAAAGTGATGCAACATAACTTCAGCCCAAACTTCCTAGCCTGCCTCCCTAAGTCCATCTTTAGGTTTTTCAGATGAGATGAAGCGTCCACTAAGCATCTTTACTTCGGTCTGCGTAGGAGTGCATATTCAACAGTCCAGATAGGGATGTAAATTTTCCAAGTAAAATAAAGATATAGATGGCAGCAAGCATATGAAAAAAATACAGAAAAAACAGAAACCACACTCTTCCTTCCTTTGTGTCCTTCAACAACAAGACTTAGATCAATAAAACCAAAACCCTTTTAAGATTCCTTTCCAAAAGCTAAATGCCTAGTTCTATTTCAAGTTCAAAAAAAAGTAAAAAAAAACCAAACCCCCAAAAAACCCCAGCCAAACAAAACCCAAAAAAGCTACCCTATTTGCTTAAAAATGGAAGGCTTCACAAGGTAGGAACCTCTTCCCCTAAAGTTATTTTTGAAGGCACGAAATATCTAAAATCCAAGGTAAAATTATTCCCAGTTTTCAAAATCAACACAAAGAACAGTGGGAGGGAGGGACTCTATGGGAAGAAGCAACGCACACTTACAAAGCTACTTGAGAAAGGCTGCCTCTTCTACACAGGAGGATCCTGCTTTTAGACGATGCACACGTCTACTAAACTTACTTTCACTCTTATACCTTTACAAGGTTGCAACCCTGGCATAAGTGTGAATTTCAGCTCAACCACAGCTACAGTGAGCACCTCCCTAATCCAACCTCTAACACTCTATTCTGTTACCTTAATTTAGCACTAAGCACACAGGTTCCTTATCACCTGGCCTGTCAATAAATAAATAAATGGAACATTTATGTTGCCTCTATGTGAAGGTAAAACATTGGGGGACTAGTTGCTCTCTCTTGCCACTCCAATAAAGGCAAAGTACCTTGAAAATACAGTATATAAAGAGATGACACTCCTGCTGCCTACTGAATTTATACGCCACAAGCACAAAAAACCCTCAGTTGCTGATCACAGAATCACAGAACGTTAGGGATTGGAAGGGATCTCAAAAGATCATCTAGTCCAATCCCCCTGCCGGAGCAGGAACACCTAGATGAGGTTACACAGGAAGGAGTCCAGGCGGGGTTTGAATGTCTCCAGATGAGGAGCTCTCTAGGCAGCCTGTTCCACTGCTCTGTTACCCTCACTGAGAAGAAGTTTCTTCTCAAATTTAAGTGGAACCTCCTGTGTTCCAGTTCGTGTCCGTTACCCCTTGTCCTATCATTGTCCCCGAGAAGAGCCTGGCTCCATCCTCGTGACACTCACCCTTTAAATATTTATAAACATGAATGAGGTCTCCCCTCAGTCTCCTCTTCTGCAAACTAAAGAGACCCAGCTCCCTCAGCCTTTCCGCATAAGGGAGATGCTCCACTCCCTTAATCATCTTTGTAGCCCTACGCTGGACTCTCTCCAGCAGTTCCCTGTCCTTCTTGAACCGAGGGGCCCAGAACTGGATGCAATATTCCAGATGCAGTCTCACCAGGGCAGAGTGGAGAGGGAGGAGAACCTCTCTCGACCTAACCTGATGCTTTTAGTTCAGAGGTTTTCACACATTCTAAACGTTCCCACATATATTTAGTTTTGTTCTGATTAGTATTAATAACTGTATGCCTTCCAAAGGGTAAGAAGGGTGAAAATGCTTTTTGATACAGTGAAAGCCTGTAGGCTACCAGCTTTGCAAATCCTGATAGTTATACTGCTTTGCCTTGACTAGAGTCTAAGCATAATTGAAAATACATCTAAAAATCCTCATCACAACAAACTTAAGAATAAGATAACTGGTCAATTAGTCTCCCTTAAAGCAAGCCTCAGCTTCAATTTTTCCACGCTGCTTAATCATAACCAATATAATCTTCTTCAACAATACAAACAGGCCCATCCTACTCATGGCAACACAACACAAGTGGGAGAATGGGAGATTCTGCCTACCGGAGATGTTGCAAGTCTTTTCTTTGTCTATGTTTTATGATTGAACTGGATTCCATAACAGGCCTGAACTCAAGCAGAGTCTATGGTCTCATCAACTAGGCTACACAAGATACATACACATTTGGGTTTACTTTTCCCCTACTTAAAACCTTAAAAATCCTACTTCCTCACAGCATGTCAGCATGTGTGCCTTTGCTTGATAACTAAATAGTACTGTTCAGACAAATGTCTTTCCAGTAATATTCGGCTTTCTCCAGCCCTTGCATCCAAACTAACCAAGAAACACTTTGGACAAGTCTTAATTCTGCTCTGAGACATCCGTCTCAGACAGAATTCAGATTGAGAGGAAACAGAAGCTTCTAATTTACCTTACATCATCTTGGCACCAAAAGATACCACAATACCAGACAGCAATTAATCTGCAGAGCCATGAAACACTTGATACGCTTCCTGAACACTGCCAAATCAAACCTAGCGAGTGTTCAAGAGATTCTTGCAGTTACGGGGCTGTCAATCTCTTCTTAATTGTAAACCTTTGTCATTACTTCATTATTACTTGTAACTCAGTAATAAAAAAAAAACTCAAAAAGTAGCCTGCTGTAGCACTGAACACAGCAGAAACACAACACAAGACTGGCCTCTACAATACTCCTCTCCAGCAAATATCACCTAGTGCTTGGGATCCCATAAAGTCCAAAACTAGGAAAGTTCCCTTTTTGCGCCTGCCCTTCCTAGTGTTATGCTAGTGGCATCATCACTATAGTGGGTTTACATGGCAAGGTTTTGGTAGTGCACGGGCTGCAGGGGTGACTTCTGTGAGAAGATGCCAGAAGCTGCGCCCATGTTGCACAGAGTCGGTTCCAGCTGGCTCCAAGATTAACCTGCCACTGGCCAAAGCAGATCCCAGAGCCCATCGCTGACGCTGGCAGCACCTCTGGAATAACATATTTCAAAAAGGGTAAAAACCACTGTGTAGCAGCTGTGAGAAAAGAGTGAGAAAAATGTGAAAGAAACAGCTCTGCAGACACCAAGGTCAATGAAAGAGAGGGAAGAGGTGCTCCAGGTGCCAGAGCAGAAATTCCCCTGCAACCTGAAGACCATGCAGCCGATGGAGGTCCATCAGAGAGTAGATATCCACCCTGCAGCTTGTGGAGGACCCCACCCCAGAGCAGGTGGATGTGCCCTGAATGAAGCTGCAGCCTGTGAAGAGCCCATGCTCCTGGCAGGAGTTGCAGCTGGTGGTGAGGAGTCCACACAGGAGCAGGTTTACAGGCAGAAGCTGTGACCTTTTGGGGTACCCACACTGAAACAGTTCTTGAAGAACTGCAGCCCATGGAAAGGACCCATACTGGAGTAGCTCATGAAGGACTGTATCCTCTGAGTGGTATACCACGCTGGAGCAGGGAAGACAGAGTAGGAAGGACTGGCTGAGATGAAGTGTTATCAACTGACTACATCCTCCATTCCCCTGCACCTCTCAGGGGAAGAAGGCAAAAGAGTCAGGAGTGAACTTGAGCCTGGGAAGAAGGGAGGAGTGGGGGGAAAGGTGTTTTTAAGATTTGTTCTTATTTCTCATTCTTCTACTCTATTTAATTGGCAATAAATTAAATTAATTTCCCCAAGTTGAGTCTGTTTTGCTTGTGACAGTACTTGTGGAGTCCTTATTTCAGGACTTATATGGAGTCCCTGTCCTTATTTCAACCCATGAGGTTTTCGTTGTATTTTCTCCCTGTTCTTTTGATAGGAGTAGTGATAGAGCATCTTGGTGAACACCTGGTAACCAGCCACGGTCAACCCACTAAAGGCACTCATATGAGGAGGTGGCAGTTCCAAAGCATAGCATGGACCCAGAAGCATTCAGAAGCTTTCTGATAATTATCTCTAACACTGATCAGTCCAAATCTGAACCAGCAATTTTGCATGGTTAAGTGCTTGTGAGACAGCCTTTCCTAGCCACAATGAAAATATTGCAAGTGTATGCTGCTGACAAATTAAATGGGACATGGAAAGAGATAAAAAAGTGTACATATATACACATATGTACACACACACAAATACAATCCAAGGATTCACAAGTCTCAGAGTACAACCAAGACAGCTTTGCACGTTTTAAAATGTTAGCTACAGCCTTAACTCAACCTGAAAGTCTTGTGGGCAACCCTTTGGCTGATGACATAAATGAACCAACAAAAAAAAGTTTAAAAGATGTCTGTCAGTTTTCAATTCCCCTTTGGTTTTGGTGACTGGAAAAACTCAAATGAAAACCAGTGAGTAATTACATTTTGAGGTAAAGTTACAGCTGTGTAATCCTGATCTTTCTGCTCTTTCTAATCCACTACTTTCTTTTTAACCTGTGGAAAGGAGGAAAAGCCACCAGTGACTCAACTGATTTTACTTACCTTAAAGTCATTATTGTATCTACCAAAGTTGACTCGTCCCATATTCTCTACCAAGATGTCCAAATTTGCTCCAGCCTTCCCAGTTATATTTATCATAAGTGTCTTGTCCCTTTCGAGGACACCTTGAGGAACCTACATGAATTACACCAAAAGGAAGAAAACAATAACCATTGAAAACCAGCAAAACCCTATTATTTGTCTCTTCAACTTGCATGAAGAGAAGAAAGAGGACAAAGGAAACAAACAAAAAAGGTTTAAAAAAAAGATCCTTTCCTCCTCTTGCATATGAGCACGCACACACACAAAATAAGCTGTTATGTCAATATTCACATTTCAGTACACCAACTGGATGTGCTACTAGGCAATATTTGTCTAACTGATACCATCTCTTTCCTTAGCTGAACTCAACTAATTCAATCAACTGTTTAAGCCCTACCATTTTTATGCACTTGATTCGCAAAAAGCAAGTTCTCAAATTTAGTCTAATGATTGAAAAGATTTTGACATCATCAGTGATTAAAAGGGGCTTCATCTTCCAAGTAAGCTTGCAACAATATTTAGCTTTATTGTTATGGTTTAAGGGTTACCAGCCTGAAAGGGAACAACAGGTGGTGTCTGTAGGATCCTGGGGGGGTCAGAGATCAGTACTGTTCCCTCCCCTTTCCGGCACAGTCTGTAAAAAAACCGTTTTGCATGCCAGAGTACAGGAGCTGAAAAGTAACGCTGCCAGAGAGAACCAACCTAGACGAATGGCTGCTCCCGTCAACCAGGATCATTAGAGGGGCCCTGCCTCCAGCCAGGTGGAAGAAAGGGATAATTGAGTTTACTGGAGAATGTGGATTCAAAGGCCTGGCACATCAAAACCTGAGAAGTGTAG